TCTCTCTCTCTCTCTCTCTCTCTCTCTCTCTCTCTCTCTCTCTCTCTCTCTCTCTCGGTGTGTGTGCTGATAAATGCCTCCATGGCTCCTGTCTGACTCGCACACACACAGTACTGAGGTTATTGGTGTGTGAGTGATGTGTCTGTATGTATGATTGAATGCAAATTAGTGAGAATCTTACTATAGAGGCCCATATAGACACAGGGGCTAGATTAAGGGACCTCGTTTCTAGACTCCACAAATACACACTGCACATCTCATAAGACAGTTTTTTGTTTCATTTTCTCATTGTTTTTTTCTCACCCTTTTGTCAAACATTTTAGATTAAAAAAAAAACTCCGGTTCTTCCAGGGAACATTTGAGAAAATGTAGATTAAACCTCACTGTATAACCAAATGAGTGTGAAAATAATGTTTTTCATTGATGTAACTCTTGCTGCTACGCAGTATGTGTTTTTGTGAATCATAGAGCACAATTATGATATATAGATTTACATTATCAGCTTTCCTAATTCATTTATCCACACAAAGGATTCAAAGCATTTAGAACCTGAAGAAAAATACCCAATGCAAACCTGATGTGTAACCGATCAACTGGATAGTAATTGGGAACTATTTTGTTAACTGATTCACCACTTGAGTCATTTATCAGGTAAAATAACCAAGAATGAATTGTTCTTATCCTTGTATTCTAACAATATAGTTTTTGTACAAAAGATCCAATGACATCACCTTTATACTCATTCAATGTAAAATTTAAAAGATCATCATTATTTAAAGCCCAAATATGTTGATATTAGAAAACAAACGTCTTCCACATTGCCTAAATCACTGTTTGTACACTACTATAAATTCATTACTCTAATAAGGATTATACTTATTCTCATCCCTATTTCTGTTCTGTCAGTTTTTCTTTCATATTTATATTGTACAGCTACATTGAAGCATGTGCATCCAAAGATGTAGAGGAAATAACACGATCGGGAACTGATTATTAAATGAAGACCTTATCCTATTATAAGACATACATGCACACATTTACCCCCAGCAGTTTTAGATGTTTTTAAAAAATTAAATCTTCTTTGTTTTCTTCTAGTTTGGCATCTGTACAATATGTTCACTGTCTGCAATTGTCATGAACGAAACACTGTACTGGTATTCAGTGCTTCTGGGTTATTTGTTCATATCTGTCGTGAAATGATGTATACCCAGGTACACAAAGGAAGATGACAAATATGGAGAATCTGAAACAAGGAGAGAAAGTAGATGGAGATAACACAGGAAAAAACAGACAGAAGAATGAAACTGTAGACGTGGAATGCTGAGAGAGATACTGGTAGAAAAATGGCGACTGGCTGCAGTTTTTTTTTATCTCTGTGTCCTCGTCTCACTTTTCACTGTTCCATCTTTCTTTGCTTGCACTCTCTCTCTCTGTGCTTTTCATCACCTCACTCTCTTTGAGCTGGTGCCTCAGCTTCCTCTCCCTTTCTCTTCTACTTCACCTTCTTTCTCCAATTTTTTCTACTTTTCTCATTTTCATCCCCCCCCACACACACGCACACGCACACACACACACACACACACA